GGAGGAGGAGATAAACGGATGTGTCCTACCGCTGTGTTCCCTTCATCAGACCCTTTTATTGCATTTTACAACTGTAATACAGGACATGAGTTCGAATAGATCACACCAAAACTAATGTGTGTCATGTGGTGTGATATTTCAGCCATAAGAACCAGGTCTTATCTCTGTAAAGGGAATGTTATTATTTTGTACGCACTTTGCGTGTTAATGCGAGAGATGATGTTTTGTTTTCGTGGGCGCGGACTTCGACAGAAGAGTTGGACACCCCTTCCGTCAATTTGTTAGTTAGTTATAGGCCTACTGGAGAAAACCAGGGAAAATCACAAGAAACCAACCTCAGACCAAACAATAAAAATTGTGTCCAGCGTCGGTGTTGATATTACGTCTATAAGTTAAATCCAAAACAAAGAACAGCAAGTCTGTTACATTCCTCCGATGTTGACGGACTTAGGAAATATCTCGGTTCTTCAAAGTTCAGAAGTTCGCTGTTCTGGACTTTGTTTTTCAAGGCAAAAAGCTTCGCTCTTAAAAGTTTTTCTGGCTTGTGTTCAACGATACAGCAGGCAGAGCGATGCGACTTCTATTATGACAATGACTGTACTACTTGTTTCCATGGTAACGTGTAATTTGCTAGTGTGTTAGCAACCTGAAGTTGCTAAAACATGCGTGTTGGCTTTGCAAAGTATATCCACGCGTAACAACTTTAAATTAACTGAATAATTTTCCTCAAATCTGCTAGTAAGTGATTTTTATTAAAATTTGTCCCCCACGTTACAATTCTGGAGGAAATCGGACATCACTATCTCGAATGACGGACATGTCTTATGGGATGTTACGCCTTGTAATCTCGTAGAAATTAGCCGACGTTTCACATGTACTCCTTGCTTCCATCATCAGGGTGATGGTCAGTAAGTACCTCCCGAAACGTCGATGCATATCTATCACGGTACAACAACCCAGAAGGCAGCCATCTTGGTATGTGTTACCGCGAGAATCTGAAACCTCAGGTTTTAAGTGTATTGTGGGTTTGGTATGAGATGACATCAAAGGTTTGGTGTGTTTTAGAGTTTTGTGTGTGGTAGATGTTTCAGGGGACACCCGACACGTAAAGCTAGGGTGATTTTTTTATCTTAAATTTAAACTAAAATCGTAAATACAGACAACATCCCCTGTTGACAGGGTGAATGTATGTGACAGTGGCCTCCACCGCGTTTCTCTTTGGAATATTAATATTT